GAAGATGGCTAATTTAAGTAAGTCCTTTTTTTAGGAAGCTCTGCATTTGCACTGCCTCTCGTGTGTCAGACTTGGAGGCTGGAATCACGCCTGGCACCTTCTACTGGGGGAAATGCTGATGCAGGGATGCTCCATTGGCTTTCACTCAATCGGGGCCACAGGCTCTGCCTTTTCAAAAGGCTTTTGTCAACACAGCTCAGCGATGGCTCAGCAGCTTCGGCACAATCAATCTATTTGCTCAGCCACAAGGGCTAACGGGGGGGCACCGGGGGGGTCCTCACTGCTGCTTTTCACTGGGGTGCAAAAGCTGAACTGCAACTTTGCTGGGATACTTGGGAGCATTGACATCACAAGTTGGCACTATGGAAGTTTGCAACTCAATGGCAGCGCTGATCCCGTGTGTATGCTGAATGTGGTAAATGGATTGAGTAGTGAGTTAAAGAATAGATTCAGTATATCACATATACGGAGGTGTCCAAGGCCAGGTTGGATGGGGCCCTGATCTGCCTGATGTAGTGGCTGGCAATCCTGCCCATGGCAGGGGGGTTGGAACCCGGTGATCTTTTAGGTTCCTTCCAACTTAAGCCATTCTACGGTTCCATGAGATATACTGTGTGTTCCTGTCCATGGTGGGGTAGTTGGACTGGATGATCTTGAAGGATCCGTTCCAACCTAAACCAGTTGATGATTCTTTGAATGTATCAAATGGATCAAATACACGAAATCATAGAATCACAGAATGGCTTGGGTTGGAAGGGGCCCCCAAGATCATCCGGTTCCAACCCCCTTGCTGTGGCAGTGTTGCTAACCACTAGACCTAGCACCAGATCAGGCTGCCCAGGGTCCCATCCTGCCTGGCCATCTACACCTCTGGGGAATGGACATCACTGCCTTTCTGGGCAACCTTTTCCAGCATCTCATCAACTGAACAAATTAACATTAAATATATAGCATTAAATATACTGTATATATAATATATAGAGAGAACCTCTCCTATGAAGATAGGGATCTTGGGTGATTCAGGGTAAGAGAAAGCTCTGGGAAGGACCTCACTGCAATCTTCCAGTACATAAAGGGAGCTTATAAACAATATGAAACCAACTTAAATGCGCTCTGATAGTGACAGGACAAAGAGGAATATTTTTAAACTGAAAGAGGGGATGATTTAGTTGGATGTTAGGAAGAAATTCTTCGCCATGAGGATGGCGCTCCAGCACTGCTGCCCAGAGAGCTGCGGATGCCCCATCCCTGGAGATGCCCAAGGCCATGGATGGGCCCTTGGCAACCTGAGCCGGTGGGAGGCAGCCAGGCCACGGCAGGGGGGGAGATGGTGGCGCTGTGAGGTCCTTTCCAACTCAACCGTTCTGCGGTTCCATGGCTCTGTGATCTTTAACAACTCTTCCAACCCAATCTCAGGCCACCACAACCATTCCTTGCAGGTTTCTCGGGATGCGGCCCCGTGACGCCTGGTGTTGGGTGGCCATGCTGCTGCTCGCCCTGTTCAGCAACACTGCTGGAGGCCGACGTGGAGCTGGAGGAAGAGCTGGGGGACGAGGAGGAGGAGGTGGCGGAGGAGGAGGAGGGCTCCGTGGGGGCTTTCGGTCCATCTCCCGTGGAGCCAACACCGCAGGCCGAGGCTCCAAGATGGCGAGCGCCATTGCAGCCGGTGCCGCCGCAGGGTATGGGATGGGGCTCCTGGGGCGCCCGCGGCCCTCCCGCCTTGGTCACGGCCCCCCGGCCCAACGGCAGCCCCCACCAGCTGGGGGTTTCCATGCTGCAGCTTGGCCGGAGCTGGGGGCCAAGCGGGGACCCCCCAGCCGAGCCCCCAGGGGACCGTGCGGTAGCATTGTCCCCACTCTACTGCTGGCAAATGCCATCTGCTGGGTCAACCATGGGATGTAACGCTGAGAGTTGAAGGGGGGAGGGGGCACAGCACCCTCCAAGATGAAACCATGGGTGCTTGGAGGTGCACAGCAGTGCTGGGAGGTGGGATGGGGATCAGGGAGGGGGGAGATGCTCTGCTGCCATCTCGAGTCCTTCGGACCCTCAGCCAGCAGCCCTCACCGTGCTCTTGGCAACCTTGGGATCCTGCAAGCCCATCGAGCACATGAAGAAATCAAGCCCAGCAAGGAAATGTCAATATTTCTACCCACACGTTGTGCAGACACAGGTGGATTGACCCCATCAGCCTCGGTGCTTGTCCTGGTTTTGCATGGTGTGGCAAAATCAGGAAAGATGTTATGAAAAGATGTTCCTTTCCCCAAAGAGCACTGGGACTCAGCTGGGGACATGGGGCTCCAAAATGACCCCTCCAACTTGCATTAAAGTTTGGTTTGGACACAGCCTCTTGCTCTGGTTTGCAATATCAGGGCATCCTCTATTGGGCTGCAAATTTGCTCTTGTTATGGGGAGCTTCACACCAGCTCTGTTGTATTTAGCATTGGGTGTAGCCCTGCACTGCTAAGGGATGTTGCAGCAAGGGTGGCACCAGTGATGACAATGCTGTGCAGGGAGAGACCCCTCCTGCTCCATCCGTCCAGCCTCAGTATGACCGAATCTGCTACAGCCTTCAGCTGCCCAGAACACAGACAGCTGTGTGGTGCCCTGTCCCTGGGCTCTGGAGTTCCAGGGTTTGCCTTCTGCAGATGTTTCAGGTTTGCTTTTCATCCAGTTCTTCCCAGAAGGGAAAATCCTCTCTGACGTGCACAGAAAAGAGGGATTCTTTCCGCTCTGGGCTCTACATTTTCTCTGCTCCTTCTCTTGGGTGGTCAAACAACTCCAAAAACGCAGTTGAGCCACAGCAGCTGATAGCAAAGGAGAACGAAACAAAATATTGGGGCTTCCCCTTAAAAACATGGGCTGCCTCGCTCTCACCCTCCTGCAGGTGTTAGTTTTTGTTTTATTTCCCCATTGTTCTTATTTAAAATGAGTGATGAGCCCCAGATTTGCAACTTCCTGCCCATGTTTTGCATCCATGCTATGGCTGAATGGACAGACCACTCTGCAAGCATCTTTCACTCACCTCTCTGATTTGCATCCTGAAATCAGAGATGCTGCAGCTCCAATGCAGCCCCACCTTTTTCTTGGTTTCTCTCTTTCAGAAGCATGCAATAGATGGAGAAGTGCTTCAAACCTCCTGCAACCCAATGCAAAACACTGCAGGAGAGGTCAGGGCATTTGCATGCAATTTGCTCTCAAATCACTACTCTTGACACCTGAAAGCTGTCCGGGGAGCAGAGTTTGGTGACAGTTTGGGAGCACACGCATTGCCAGCCATCCCCAGAGCTGCTGCCTGGAGCTCAGACAGGAGATGGAGCTGTTGGCCACTCAGCAGCGCGCGTTCCCGACACAGCCGTGCCCAGCTCAGTGCAAACGCGCCCAAAATATTCATTTTGCAGCCTTTTTTAGGCAGAAAAACGTGTTGTGGTTTTTTCTGCAGAATTTTTTTTTTGTCAAAAGAGGGATTCAGCTTAACAAGGAGACGTTGTGCAGAGCAGAAGATGACCCCAACCCGTAACGTCTATGAACTTTAGGGCATATTTCTCCTGATCTGAACATTTCCTGCTTGAATCTGCAGTGTTTCACCAATTAACTCAGTGCTGTGTGGGCACGGAGGGTGGAAATGCTTTTGTATGAGCTTCCTCCAAGCATTTCTCATTGTTTCCATCTATCCCAGTGGGGCAGGAACGGCTCTGTGCTCTTTGATCAAAGCATAGGAAAAAGTTTCAGGGTTTTTCAGGGTGGAAAGGAGCACTTTGTGAGCTCAGCCCTTCCTTACTGGAACATGGGAGTGCACCCTACTGCCTTGCACGTGTTGCCAGCCCCAACAGCAGAGCCAACACATCCATAGGGGTTTTTATACCCCAAATCCTCCTCTTCACCACCGCTTTTTGCACTGCTCTGGCACAGAAGGGATGCAACGTCTGGGATCCTGAATTTATCTTCCTCCCCCAACCCCCCCCCCTCCCCCCCATTTTGGAAACGAAGTGCAAAGATCAAATCCTGCTCATTTCCTGACTGCCATCTGATCGTTCATCCCATCACTGCTCCTCTTACTGACAATCAGATAATGTGACGATGCCCATTTCTAAGTAGCTGCCTTCAAGAGAAAAGCTTTTATTTTCCTATTCCCAAACACCCATGGGAGCTCCAGATCCCCATGATCTTGTCTTCTGTGGTTTCCCAGCTGCTTGCACTCAGGAATAATCCTCTGTTTAGTGCCAAATGGTTCTTCTTTTTTTTTTTTTTTTAATTTTTTATTTTTCCTGGCAAAAATATGAAAAAGAGTCACTTTGGGGGTTTTCTGGCACGCCACTTGAAGACCAACACTTAAAGTGCTCTTGAGGAAAGAGGGTATTGCAGCTCAATAGCATAGAATCACAGACTCATAGAACTGCCCATGTTGGAGTGGGACCTGGAGGGATCACTGAGTCCAACTCCCGGCTTGCTCAACCCAAATCACTTCAAAGAAAAGCACCATTTGGCCAAAGTCCCACAGTCTTCACTCTTTCATTGTAATTTTTAAGCTTTGCTATATTCCAAGTAGCTCAACAGTGGTGCTGGGTTTTGTATAGAAGAACTCAAGGTTTAAATGGGGAGAAGGACATCCTCAACTGTTATATTGTCTTTAGTAGAAAATGTTTGATGGATGGCACTGAAACCATTTGTGGAAGAGGAGGGGGGAGGTTTATCAGACCTTGATTCAACGTTAAAGGGGATTGATGTGCCCAGGGGATGGGGCGAGGGGTCAGAGAGGTTTCAGGTTGGATATTAGAAACAATTTGCTCTCAGAAAGAGTGGAGAAACTTGGCACAGGCAGCCCAGGAGGGTGATGGGTCACCGTCACTGCAGCTTCAGTCTGCAGCGTATCCCTGTGAGTGCAAGTAGGGCAAGAAGAGGGAGAAAAGGGAGAAATTTGGGAAAACAGACAAGACCAGGGGATGGGACACGTGGTCACGAGAGGGCCAAAGCCAGAACTGCACGAAGGAGGCTCCCGCGCCTTCGCTTCACCTGCTTTAATTTGCACCAGACGTCAAACATTTAGAAAAATGTTGGAAAGTAAAACGCAGTGCATGCACCGTTACAAACGTACAAAACAGCCGTGTCTCACAAAGCACACATTACCTCCAAGTCCTGATATTTTTACCTTTTTTTTTTTGTTGTTGAATATACTGGAAGTATATCTCCACTTTAGTTACAGGGACGTGAAAATCATTTAGGATGGTTGAGTATGGCCAGCAGTGGCATTCAGTGCCCACATACATGATATATATCAGCTCTAGGCGGTGCCAGCAGCTCGACACGTGGACTTTACATATGCTACAGCCTATGTACACATCAGTAGCAACCGAAGCACAAGAAGCAATAGTTCCATTGGCTGCATTGAACAATTTGCTCACGAAAGGTGGGTCTCCAGCATCCCCTTGGCGTTCGTTCTACTCGTCCTTTTTGCCACTTCAATCCAGTTGAGCTGACTCAAGTCCTTCCCTGCGTTCTTGATTCCCCTTTGGCTGCATTTTAGCATCCTTTGGGTTTTGGGGCTGATGGCAAATGATGTTCCCATGGCTGATCCATATGAGATGCATTCATTTTCTATCATACACTGAAAGAAGCTTTTGCTCAGTGTTACTTTTTGGGCATTCAGCAGTGCTCCCCTCCTCTGGGCAGGCTACAAAGGGCAGCATGGCTCCGCTGGAAGCAAAGCAGCGTGGATTGATGAGCCCAACCCCAAGCTGCTGTGGCTTCAGCCTCACCATTCCCAAATCACTCTAGTTTTGGAGTGCTGCTGCAGGAGGTGTTTACAGCATGCAAAATGCAGAGCTGACAGCTCCTATCCACGTGGAAGGGTTGGGATTGGCGGATTAAAGAGCTACAATTGCACCTCGGCAGCCCAAGGTGTTGCTTGGGACTGACTCCCCAAAACCCATCAACCTCCATGGGATGTGTGGGTGCCAAGCCCCCGGGGTTGGGGTTGGTGTGCCCTGGGGAAAGGCGCTCTGCTGTCACCGGGGCTAAGCAGATTAGGTAAAACCCTGCTTGTTAGCAAAGAGGATTTTCGCATATGCTCCTGCAGGGACAACGAGGGCTGGGCGAGCCCATATCTCTGCCCCAGAAAGGAAGAGGAGGAAGTGGTGAAGGCCATCTTTTGGGCATCCCACTCCACCACCAGCAGCCGTCCTGCCACAACCAGGACAGGACAAAATTCCCTCCCAGTTGCCCAAATCGGAGTCTGCAGGGAGGCAGCGGGGGGACATCTTCACCAAAGATGGACAAAAGCGAGGACAGGGGACACCCCATGGGTGGGCGTGGGGACACAATGTCATCTCACTGCCACAGGGCACGGCGTCCCATCAGTGCATGGCAAAAAGGGTGGCGAGGAGGAGCAGGACAGCGAGCCAGGTGTCAGCAGGGTGCAGCTGGATGCCCGAGGCCAGGCGGTACTCGCGGTACTGCTGCACGCACATCTCACGGATCACCTTGGTCACCACTTTGTTCTCCATCTCCACCTCCGTCTGGTTGGCAGCCGGCACGGCCTCGGAGGTGTTCTTCTTGGCAGCGGGGCCGATGCTGTACTCAGTCACTGTGATGTTGAAGCAGTCGGCCACGAAGACGTCCTGCGACACGGGGCTGCTGTAATCCCGGTAGTAAACCCGGTTGGGGTAACGCGCCGAGTTCTCGTTCCACCAGCGGTACTCGTCGGGGCTGTCGAAGCGGTAGTTCATCCCTGACATAACGCGCCCCATGGCGTAGCCCCCCAAGCCCCCCACCACAGCGCCTGCCGCCGCTGCCCCTGCCACGTGCTTGAAGTTGGTTTTGGGGGGTTTCCATGGCTTCTGGTTATGGTAGCTTCCCCCGCTGGATGGGTTGTAGCCTTGTCCCCAGCCTGGGTAACCTGGGTTATGGGGGTAGCCAGGATTCTGGGGATAGCCAGGGTTGTGGGGGTAGCCGGGGTTGTGGGGGTAGCTGGGGTTGTGGGGGTAGCCGGGGTTGTGGGGGTAGCTGGGCTGGCGGGGGTAGCTGGGCTGGCGATGGCTCCCGGCACCCCAACTCCCACCGCTGGGTTTGCCTTTGCCCTTCTTGGAGAGGGCAACGTCGGTGCAGGCAGCGAGCAGCAGGGCCAGCAGGCAGCAGGTGGTGAGGAGCCTGGCCATGGCTGCGGGCATAAGGACACGCACCGTTAGGGCAGTGAGCAGAGACCCCCCTCCCATCCCCACCCGCTTCATAAGCATCACAAGATCTTCCACCTAAATTGAGCATCATCCCAAACATCATCCCCTTCTGAACGGATCTGGGCATAAACGTTTACCCTTCCAAAAAACCCGTGCATCTCCCTCCTCCCTGTGCTTGCAACCTCCTGTACACCTTCCCATGAGCCTCAGATGCCATCTCTGCTGCTAACTGCAATCTTCAGCATTGGGTTTTCTGCCAGAGAACAGAACTCAGCATGCTTCCCAAGTCTCTGTTTATGTGCAACAGCCCTTAGCAGAGCATGAGCGACTGGCATTGCTCTGGTTAACAGTTTGCAGCTCTTTGCTTATTCAGCACTCTGCTGCTGGCATTGCAGGGGCACACAGGGCTGCCAGGAGCCCCCGACACTGAGATTGGTGGGAGGGCAAAATGCCACTGTAATGAGCTGTTATCTGCCCAGGAAATGGAGCAGCTGTAATGGACACCAACTCTGGAAAACATCTCTCCAGCTGAAAACTCTCCCTGCGAAGGTGCATAGGTCACCACATTTCTCAAGTCCAGCAGGGCGGTGGGCTGGGTGTGCTACCTGGCTCATCTTATTGCCCATGGCTTGAGCCTCGAGTATGCTTTTCTTTTTTTCCTCCCTCTTTTCCTCCCTTTTTTCCTTTTTTCCCCCACTTTTTCTTTTTATTTTTTTCCTTTTTTTTTTCTTCTTTTTTTCTTTTTTTTTCCTTCCTCCCACTCCCCAGGATTAATGGTCACCACTAATCCCAAAGGCGAGTTAAATACAGATAACAGATGACTCTCATGAGACGCGCTGACCATCCCTCATGAGACGTAACAGAGCAATTCCTTCCTTAAGCTAAAACCTTTTCCAGTTGCCTATTAACTACAGCTTCGCACTCCACAAGCAAACAAACCAACCCCTCTCCTTGTTCAGATAACAGCCTCCTTTTTCCCTCCCAGAAGAATCAGAGGATGGGGATGCACTGACCTGGCCCTGTGATGGGGGGACACGGCCCTGGTTGCTGCTTTATTGCTTTCCCCACCCCTCAGTGCCCACCCAAGGATGAGATCAATGACTTGAAAAATTAGATAGCAGACATGATTAAAATTCAGATGGGCAAACGTTGCTGCGTGGTCTCAGAGAAGGACTTGGGAAATAGGGGGAAGAAATAAAGCAGCAAGTTGGCATCTTGCCTCAAGATGTATGATTTCCTGTAACAAGGGATGGAAAAATAACCCCGAGATGCAGCACGGATGGAAACAAGTTTTGGCAAAGCCCTGGGGGTGTTCCTGCCCAGCAGCACCGACCTGTTTGCAATGGTGTTGGAGCTCCGATAAACACAGCTGGGGTTGGGTTGTGTTGGCACTGCTAATTGCTGTGCCCTAATAAATGCAATTAAAGCCCTACAAGCAATGGGGATGTTCTTACCTCAGGGTGAGGTCTTGGGGTCGGTGTTTGCTTCCTCTGACTCAAAGATATTTATGTATGAGCGATCCAAGAAGCCTTGAATGGAGACGACAGATTAATTCAGGTGATTTGTGGCGTCGGGCACCATAAGGAGGGTTTTACATCTGTGCCACAGTGACAGCATGGCAGAGGGGAAGAGGAAAATGGAGGATGTATGAGCAATCGTGAGCAGCAATTACGTGCATGGGCTTTGGCTCTGCGGGGGAAATCCAACACTGCTGCCAAAATCACAGTGTGGTGGGGCCTGGAGAGCAGATCTGGGAAGGAGAGGAGAAGGGGAAGGGGAAGGAGGAGGTGGAAGAGTGCTGGGTATGAGGAAGATGCTCTGTTTACAATTTGCTGATGAGCTCACCCTGCAGTGCTGGGAAATTCCAGCTCTGGGTTGCAAAATGAGGGCTGGGGGATGCATAAAGCACGCAGACACTCCTGATAACCGCCAGCTTTCAGAAATCCCCCCTTTTTCTGCACCCCAACGCGAGGGCCGCACCATTTCCAGCCACTGGGACCCACAGACTGAGCTAATAAAACCCGGGGCCGATATAGGGGTGGGGGTAGGGGAAAATTTCCCGCTGCTATCAGAGCGGAATCAGCCAGGAGCGGACGAGCAGAGGCGAGGAGCGGAGCTGCCTTAAGGCAGGCAGCCGAAACCTCTATTTTTAGGCACGGAAAGGAGGGCAGCCCCCATCCCTGGAAGCGATTCAACCGCAAACACCACGCAGCGCCCGCTGTCAGAAACGGCTCAGCTCTGCCCCATCGCCTCCCACAGCCCCCGGTGGCTTCGTGCCCCCCAGACCAGAGCCCCTTCCCCAGCACTCACCGCCACCGCTCGGCTCCAGATGATCCGGATCCAGCGAAGGGGGGGAGGAAGGAATAAATAGCGAGAGGGAGGAGCTGGCTGCCGGGCAGCCCAACCCCACGCAGCGCGGCCAGCGATCTTCGCTCTGAGCGCGGCGTTCGGGTCCTTCCCATCTTCCCCCAAACGATGCAAGATAGGAAACCTCGGCGCCTGGCTCGTTTGTTCAAGAGGAGTCTGCGTTCATCGGTATTCGAGAGGTATTTGAGGAGGAAAGGAAGAGGTTGCCGTGTGAGTCCACTGTCTTGTGAGAAACGCAGCATCAGTTGGTGGTAGGGGATAAAATAAGCACAGGCTGACAGTGAAAATGATCTTCAACGCTGGAGGGGATTCTAAGGTCATTGGTTCCAATCGCTGACCCTTCCCCACCAAGCCCATTCTGTCGGAGATCATAGAACCATGGAGGTTGGAAAACACCTCTAAGGTCATCAAATCCGACTGCCAGCCCATCCCCACTGCGCTCAGTGGGTCCATCTTCAGAGCCTGCTGTGCTCTGGATGAGCGAAACTCTCGGGCACAGTGATTGTGCATTTTGTGGTTAATGGGAAGAGGCAGATTAAACAAATTAAAAATGAGTGTGATGCTGATGGCGAGGTTTTACAGCCCCTGCTTTGTGGGGATACGTGACTGCAATGCACTAAAGGCCAAGTCTCACCCTGCTGTAGCCATCATGCTCATCCTTTAGGTAGGCTCCAATAAAAGGGTTGAGCCCAGCACACCCAGGGCACTCTGCCATGATGGCCAGGAGATGTGACTGCAGCTCGGAACTCATTGCACCCAGACTGGACTTGGCACAGTCCAGTGCTCCCACCACTGGGTTTTGCAGCACATCTGGCTGTAAAGAGGATTCCCAGCTCTGTGCTCTGTGTTCTCCTCTGTCCATCTGGATGGATTATGTTAAAAAAAAAAATTAAAATTAAAATCACTTCTGTTTGGCAGCAAAATGGGTTGCACTGGGTGTTTGGCTTTGTGGGCTTGACATACATTGCCGTTCCTATAGGAGATCCGAGCTGCAAATGGAGCAGCCTATGAGTTTGTTTTAAGGTACTGTGGAAGTTCACAGTGCTAAAAAGACCCAAACAAAGGCGCCTGCAGCATCCCTCCAATTGAGCCACTCTGATTATTTCTGCAGTGCTCTTTGATTTAAGTGTCTGTGTGGGAACCACTGAGTCAGGGCCTGAACTTCTGATTGATCACCTGAGGCGAGCCATGAGCCAGCCAGAGGAGCACAGGTGAAGGCAATTCAGCTGTGCTCCTAGACCTATTTAAGAGCTGGCTACCAGTGGGGAAGGATCTTGTCTGGAGATCCCTCCTTCTGGTGTTTGGTGGTGAGCCCAGCATAAGGGTAAGCCTTCCATTTATTCTCTCTTGTTATCATAGTCCACTTTGCCTAACTCTCTTGTTTATTTTGTGATTGTAACATCTTGATATCCATTGATTATACAGCATCTCAGGGTGAAATTTCTCCTGTCAGCAGGCTGAGAGCTGTATTGATCCCTGCTGGAGGTCTGCCCTCCATTTCAGCCTCAGCTCAGGTAGATGCAATGATGTTAAGTGAGGGGGGGAATTGGTGCCAGGTTAGAAAGCATTAATGGGTTGTTTTTCTCGTAACAATTGCAAAACACTGACTGTGTTTTAATAATGAGAGCAGCTGGGAGTGGACCCAGGGTCCACCTAACCCTGATTCATTGCTTCGCATTGATTTTTCTCTTTTCCCTGTAATTCATGCACAACCCTTCTGTTCACATAATGCTCTTGGGCAATTCTTGCTTGCTTTTGGGGAAAGCCACAAATGCAAGGGAAGGCATTAAGATGGCTTGGTTGAGGTTTACTAGGCTTGTGTTTGGGGTCATGTGGCAGATTTTGTGGGTTGGATAAGAGCACTGAGTTCCACAGCCCATCACCATCCCACAGTCACACGCTGGATCTGGGAATACATGAGAAGGGAAGGGAAGCAGGCTTGGGGCAGCAATCACTGGGATGCTCGCTGAACTCTCCAATGGCAATAATGTGCACAACGTCCATCCCTTAATGTGCACGGAGTAGTAATGAAGTGTGTTTTTACATTTGCAGATTGGTTTATTTTCTGGTAATGCTTCTGGAAGTTTCTTTCTTTAAAAATGCTCTCCCCTGGGATTTTCTGGTGAAACAGATATGTCAATGGTTGCTGGCTCCTGCCTTGATGGGAGCAGAGAAAAAGCAATTTGTGAGTAAGTAGGGCAACATTAATACGGGGAAGGAAAGCACCAGGGCATCTGAACCACAGCGAAACAGATGCCACTCAGTTAGCCTTCATTTTCAATGTCATTCTGATATTAAAAGTAACTTAAGACCAGTTAGGGGATGTTGCACAGGCCTTGGTTGCTCACATAGGGTAAAGCTATGCTGGGGTTTGCATCCCTGGAGCCTAAACCTGGCATCATGTAATGATGCAAACAGCTCAGCAACACGTCAGGAGAGGAAACACAGGGGAAAAGTAAGCAAAGCAAACTTCTCAAGCACCTTCTTGTGATTTTCCGGGACTTCTTTATTTAAACAGATAAAGCCAAAGGCTGAAAAAAGGAAATATATCAATGCCTGCCCAAGGAGAGCAGAATGCCAGCAGCCACAGTGCCCATGTTTATGTATCCTTTGCTTTGCAAGTTCCCTGCAATGCCTCATTGCAAATCTCTGCATGGGGCTCAGGTTCTAGAGTGATGCTGTGGGCAGCAGGCTCTTCTGGGGGCACAGCATTGAAAAAAAAAAAAAAAAAAAAATTCCTGCTTTTTGCAGCAAATGTGTCAGATTTGTTCTTATTGTGCTTCCAAGCCACAGCTCCATCCTTCAGTAAGTGGGTTTGTTGAATGAGTGGACATGGAGAGCACACCCTCTATTTACTATTAGACATCTTGAAAGAGCTGTAAATGCTCACTGACCTGATGCAATCTGATTAGGGGTGTAACAAGCTCTGTGCATCGCTGCTATTCCTAGCAGGACACTTGTAAGCTCCTTACAGATGGGGCCATCGCTGGCCGCAGGCTGGTGACTTCCCAGCAGTGCACTGCTGCCAGCAATGGATGTGTGAATTCATGGAGAAACTGAGGGATGAGTAAGTCACGATACTTCCAGGATTTTGCTGTTGGATTCTGGTATTTGAAAATAACACATGCTCTGGATATCAGCCATGGACACTTGGGATCAGTGTCTTTGGGGAGAACAATTCACTGCTGTGCCCGGAACATGAGTGAGTGGAAGAGCCTTAATTCTTAGCAGAAAGAGCACATTATGTCCTTTTTTTTCCTCAATAACACTCTTGTTTGTTGGAAAACACGAGGGCAGCCAGCATTCGGGCTCTTTCAAAGCTCTGTAAAGCTGCAGGAACAAACACTTGGTCAGCGGTGCTTTCATCCAACTGCCATAACCTTATTCCCCAAGCAACGCAGGGCTGCCCTGCTGGCTCCCCTGCAGGAAAAACTGAATCTCTCTCCTTCTCATTCAGGAGTGGTTGCTTCTGACTCACCAGGAGGCTTTCCTTCACCTCTCCCATTTATTTTTAACTTGCAATCCCCTTGGAAGGCATTCAGCAATGGGAGCACGAGCAGCTGACGTAGCACGGCACTGAGGTCACCTCCTTAAAAATAATCCAGGGCACACCCCGAGAGGGGGAAGGTGCTCTCATTGCCATCGTCTTCACATCAATCATCCGAATACCATTCCAGCTCCAATCCAGATGTGCGTCAGCTGAGGGCTTGCAGGGGCTGGCCTACAGCTGACGTATGGCAGCGTCGCATCCCGTCACCCTTCTGATGGGAGGCTCCTCAGAAGCACAGCATGGCTCAGGTTGGAGGGGATCTCAAAGATCCCTTAGTTCCAACCCCTCAACCCTCCAACTCATCCCTCGGGGCTGCCTCTGAGATGGGGCAGGATGGGACAAGGTGTTGGAGATGAAGAAATTTTAAAAAGAACTGTAAACTTTCATCATCCATATTTCATGTGCAGTATTTTTTTCCTTTTCCATGCACAGCTTTTGCCCAGCTCTTTGCTCTGTTTATTCACCAGGGACAGAATCCAGCTCTCGCTTCCCGTGTTGTGGTTTCTAATTCAAGAGCTCAGGGAGGATGAGACGATTAAACCCACTTTGCTCACCAAGTGGATGTGCAAATCCCCTTAACCCCTTTTCCCCCTCTCCCTGCCAATAAACCTTCCCAGGGCCATTATTTTGCTTTCTGCCTTTCCCATGTGCAGTGTTCACCCCCTTTCCCTCTTGATGTCTCAATAAGATAAAGACAGAGCTTGGGCAATGCATGCCTTTGGGTGAGAAATAGTGTAGGTTTTCAGCCTTAGGGTTTTAATACATTGAGTTTCCCACATGATGTGCTCATTTTGGCACATCTTCCAGCTGGGAGGTTGACCTGAGATTTATTACAAAGCTTTCCTTTTTCCCCAAGCAACAAATGAAAGGCTCTTTGTGAGGCTCTTGCTGACGATATGTACCAAAGAGACACTCTATAGCAAAGGGATATTAAACACCAAATACTCAGAGATGTTAAATACCAAATCTGCTCCATACGTTTCATACTCTGCCCTCTTATTTTAGCAGGAGAATTACTGCTGGAGAAAGCTTTACCATCCCTGCGTGGGAGTCAGAGTCAATAACCATGCTTTGGTGCAGGGAAGGGATCAGGGAGAGGAATGCTGCTCTGAGGATGCTCCAGATGCTCACACGGAGTCGTTGTCATGAGCACGGTGCTCCCCATGGGCATCTCCATGGCTACCTCAGCACTGAGCAATGGGGATGCAAGTGGTGCAGAAAGCACAGAAAGCTCAAAGGCTGTGTGCTCCCTCCCATCCAGGAGCAATTGGGATCATCCAAAAGGTTTATCCTTGGGGATGTTGGCTGTTTTTCAGCCAGAGCTCAAATGCAGCTGAGATCTGCAATTATTATTATTATTTTTCTAAGTGAAATTCTCAGATCTGTGGAGTTTCTACAGCGGGCGCACGGAGCAGAAGATGAGACTC